TCACGTGTATTATGATTCTATTATTCTAGACTGAATTATTGTATTCGTACGCAATTAAATCTAGAACAAAGCATTAAGCACAAACCTCAATAATGGATACCTAAGAGGTTAACTATATTCCTATGCTAACACAACAAATGTTCTTCTACCACATTTCTAATTGTTAAACAGATCTTCCGATTCATGCATTCAACAATAAAAAAAAACGCACATAAATTGATCAAGTTCATGCACTTAAGAAATCAAGTCGAAGAAATAATCCAAAATTAATAATTGCATAAAATCATAGAATTAGGTTCACAAATACTACATAGGATTCGAATAAAACCGTAGAAATAAAGACTTAGCTACTCGTAATTCTTATGATAAAGAAAATAAAATTCATAAAAGAAATAAGAAAAACTATGCATGAGTGTTCGTCGATCATCGCTCTTCGCGTTTTGTGGTGTTAAAGTTCATCCTCATGGTGTAGAAACTTGTTGCTTTTATAGACTTTTCTTGATAAGAAAGTAGTAGAGACCTAATAGGATTCAATTGCCGTCACTTTGCCCGACCCGGATATGTTCTTCGATTTTTACCATGTTGGAGTCCAAAAGTTCGAAAGTTGCGTGAAATAAGAATTATAGCCGTTGCAAATAGCTCCTCACTGTCGCTGGAATCAGGTGATTTGGAGTTCGTATGAGAGAGATATGATTGAAATTGTGCACACTGCAAAAGTTGTTGGGAGATTCCTTCTTTCATATGATTTATTTCCTTATTTGCAACTTTTGTTTTCTTCTTTATCATTTTTCGTTCATGGACACTTCATCTAATTTTTCACCTATAAAACACAAAATCTATCAATTAAAGCACAAATATAATTAAATTTAAACAAAATATCGATGTAAGGTAAACATATTGAGTGTAAAATCAACACTCAACACTTCACCTAGTATCTCTTCTCAAATAATGAGGGGAATCACCACCTTCAAAAAATATATAGTTTTGTTTTAGGAAGTAAATAACTAATTCTAATTTACTTTAAAAAAATCAAAGATAAAAATGTAAAATTTTGATATTATAGACATGACTAGAAATTAAAGTCATTAGAAATTTGTCGAAATATACTCGAAATTCATCAAAGCAAAAATATATGATGTTGAAGTTGAACACTAAATCACCAAAAGCCTCCGCGTGAACACTATGACCTCCGCCGTCGGAATCTGCAAGAAGTTGTTGAATTCTTTCAACCTTCAAAGACAATTTTAGAAATCAATCATGTATGGGGTCGTTGTTAGATGAAAACAAACCTTGGGGTGTTTTTAGTAATTATGAATACCTGACGTGTTTTTCGCTAACTAGA